TGCGTCTACGTGCCTCATCTGCGTTCCCGACCGATGTTCAATTTTATACTGGAAATCTTGCAGGAACATTGCCCAACGTGACACTCTCAACGGAACGTCTTTCTTTTTCATAGTTAACGTGAATGCATTACAATCGGTGATGATTTTAAACTCCTTGTCAATTAGATAAATCCTCCATTTCTTTAATGCTTGAATAACAGCTAGGACTTCTAATTCGTATGAATGATACTTACTTTCGGGAGAAGAGGTCTTACGACTGAAGTATTGCACCGGATGTAACATTTGATCATCAGGATCTTTCTGCATCAAAATCGCATCAAAGCCATGAGCACTAGCATCTGTGTGAACTTCTGTAACTGCAAATGGATCATAGATCTTCAAGACCGGCGCTTTTACTAACTCTAATTTCAACCGCTGAAATGCTGCTGCTTGATCTTCACCAAATGTAAACTTTGCTTCTTTACGTAGCAAATCAGTGAGCGGCTTTGCTATTACGGCGAAATTCTTTACAAACTTGCGAAAGTACGATGTGAGTCCGATAAATCTTTGAACAGCCTTCGAGTTATTCGGTATTGAAAATTTTTCCACCGCCTCAATCTTTTCATACGAAGGTTGTATGCTATTCTTTTCTATAACATACCCCAGAAAATTTATTTTTCTCTGCAGAAATTGGCACTTGCTGAATCTTATTTGGATCCCCTTCTCCGCAGCGACTTTCAAAACACGTTTAAGCTTTTTTACTCCGTCGACTTCGTCTTTCGATGGTATGACTATGTCATCAACGTAAACGATGATTGTACCATCCTGTATAAGTTCACGAAAAACTGCTTGAACAAATCTGCCAAACACAGCCCGTGAGTTTGAAATACCAAACGGTGCGTAAAGAAATTCATATTGCCCTTGATGGGTGATAAATGCAGTATATTTCCGTGATGATGGTTCTACTGGAACATGAAAAAAACCGTTCTTCAAATCGAGAGTCGTGAAAACGTTTGCACCTTGTAATTTATCCAGAACATCTTCGATTAACGGCATAGGAAAACGGTCCTTCACAATCTTTTCATTTAATCTACGATAATCGCAGCATAGACGCTTTGTTTTATCCTTCTTAGACGCTAATACAACTGCGGCAGCATATTCCGAAAAACTTTCTTGCACAATGCCTTGTTCTACCCACTCCTTCACCTGTTCGTTTACTATTACTCGGTCATGGTATGCTAACCGTCGTGGGCTTTCATATATCGGTGTATCATCCATCATGACAATTTTCATTTCAATGGGTGACTTTGCATATTTCGCTGGTTTATAATTTGTAACTAACGATTCAATTTCTTCCTGCATTTCAAATGAAAGGTGTGCTGCGTCCATGTTTGATGACTGGTCTACCGCATCTGCCATTCCACAAAAAATTTTAAATTCATCTTCATTATTTGTAGTTATGTCATTCTTCGTTTTTATAGATGCTATATCTGCTTCTTCTTCTGGAACACAAAATTTGGCACCATTTTTGGATAACACAATGCTTAAACTGTCAAGTACATCGTTACCAATTACCGCTAAAAAATCAGAGTCCTTGCACGCCACGATGTGAAACGTCAAGTGTAGATTAGCCTTGTCTAAAGTTGTTTGCAACTTTATGCTTCCTTTGCTATTTATTACGTTCCCACCCATACAACGTAGAGTTTTAATATCGTTACACAGGATACCGCCACCCAACGACTCGAAAACATCTTCGCGCAGTAATGTCAAATCAGATCCGCTGTCGATAAGAGCACAAATAGGCCTTCCCAGAGTTATTACATTTCGACATGACTTCTTGTTTGGTGTGGAGTGACTATACATGTTGTCTACGGAATTAATTCCACTGCTGGATGATGACGTTTGCCCTGTTTTTGCTTCTTTACATTCAAACGAGCGATGTCCGTTCTTGTTGCAGCGGAAACATTTGTAATTAACAATCGTACAATCTTTCGCTAAGTGCGCCACATCGCCACACTTGAAGCACCTACGTTTTATTTCCTGTTTTGGGATTTTGTGTTCAAACGACTTAGCGTTGATTACTGGAGCTTTGACTCTACTCACTTCGTTTGTTCCTCTGATTTTTTCGTAAATTATAATGCGTCGTTTCAGCTCACTTATTGTTTGCGCTTCGTATAATGTTGTTTTATTTACCTTCGAATCAGCTATGCCATCAACAAAGTATGAAATTAAACTTTCCCCGTCTAGGTCAATTGGTCGACTTATCTCCTGCAGGTTGTACAAATATTCCCTGAGTGTTTCATTCGGGCGATGCTTTCTGTTTCTTAGCATATCATGGATTTTTGCTGACGACAGTTTTTGGCCAAACTCATCAATGAGCGATCGTTTTAGCGATTGCCAGTTATGTACACCTGGTTGGTTTCTGATAAATAGACGTGCGGCACCCTGTAGTAGTTGTTTGGCATATACAAACTTTTGGATGTTGTTCCATCCCAGCGTTACCGCATTGTCGTCGAATTCGCCAATCCACTGGTTAATATCAGCTGCATCGTTCCCTGTGAATGGAGTCATGCTTTCCTGTACATCTTTGAGGGTGAAGAAGCTTTTAGCACTACTATTGTCACTACGCTCGTTGGAGGTAGCTATATCATATTCAGACACATCTTCATCCTCCTCATCAGTGAATCCGAAATGTACAAATAGTCTGTTTTGCAACTCTACTTTCCTGCCTGATGTAGACAAGCCTTCTGCACGCAGCTTCGTTTTTAATTCTTCAACCTTTAACTCTAGTATTGACTGTGCATCCATTTCAAATTTAACTTCGTTTTTGGTTTATTTACTTGTTTACTTTGTGTTGTAATTGTCACGTATATATTTTTTTTTTTCATCTTTTCCTGCTTCTAAATATCTTACTTCTTAATTTCTTCTTCTTTCTTACTTCTTAATTTCTTCTTCTTCTTGCTTTTAATTTCTTCTTTTAGACAATGCACAACACCTTACTTGCTTTAATCACCTTCAAATCACGGTTGAGCCCCCAAATTAATTGTAGAGATAATTAATTGTAGTGATATTACACTTTTATTTCAAATTCAAAATTAATGATTAATTTCTTAAAACTATTATTTTACTTTACTATCAAAATATAACAACTCTTCCTAAACGTCAGATCAAAAATGTTGCAGGGTTGCCCTTTTGTATTATTCCTACATATATATAAAAATAAATATAAAAATTGAAATTATAAAAATAAACATATAATTTAAAATTATAAATTAAATGTAAAACATCATTTTTCGTATGGAAATTACGCATAGCAGCCGCTGTTGACACTTCAGCGATTGCTTTAATACTGATGAGTGAACAAATTTTGCACTGTTTGCTGGAGGCGTGTTTAAAAAATTGTTGTAAAATTTGATGTGTAATGGCGAGAGAAGACTTCGTGCGTTGTCAACACGCGATGCTGTCTAAGGGCCACTTTAGATACCATATTCATATATTCCATATTCACAATAATCTTATTAAGACAAATTATTATAGAAAATATGCAGAATGAAAAAGAATAACTGTTACTTTGGAATATAAATTTTAAAAAATACGATTTTCATACTTTGTATTGTAAAAGGGTCATTCTTTTACAACTCAGACACCTTGTTGACCTCATGATCTCCGATTTTTCTGAAATTTTTTTATGAACTCCTTTTATAAAATAAGAAGACCCGTATCTCGGGAAACGATTTTGTGAAATTTTTCCTACGAGATATGGACCCATGGGATTTTGAGAATTAGCATTGTAGACATATTTTTAAATGTGTATTAATCTGAATCAAAAGTAAAAAAAAATTTGTGTGATATAATCCTTTTTTTTTACTGAAAATTCGTGTGTATATGTGTGAGCTTCATATGAATGAATTTTCAAAGAATATGCTACAAATATTCTTATATAATGTTATTGATTTCGACTAGTAATTAAATTCTATATACTTTTAAAAATTTATTTATCTTTCATATCACACCAAACATGTACACACGATTTTTCAGTAAAAAAAAAAGGATTATGTCACACAAATTTTTTTTTACTTTTGCTTCAGATTAATATATAAATTCTACATAAAAAATAAATACTTCCACTGTGATATTCCTTTTAGAATTAAATAAAAAAAATTAATTTATCAGGTGTTTTTACGTTGCTCATATGCACCATAATACCATTAAATCAATTTCCGAAGAAAAACTACACAAAAATGTCTACTTTTTATTTTTAAAATAAATGTATACATAAAATATTAACATTTCAAATTAGTTTCGCTTCATTTCTGTTTTTAAATTATGAATTTTATCATAATTAAACGGCTTAATTCATCTAAATAAGAAAAAAGTTTATTAGTTTCTTACTAGCCGAACTATCTAGATAACTGCAGCACATAGTCACACCTTTACCTTTTTTTATTTCCTATAGATTTCTTACCTGTGCAGAGTATTTTTCCAACTGTAGCAAAATAACACTTCACCGAAAAAGGTAGGTGCGAAAATTTTTATTTCGTAGTAAAATTTAAAACTGTATCTAAATAAAATAAATAAATAAAATATGATAATAGTTTTGAGAAATTTTTTTTTTGAAGTTTAAGGATTAATATTAGAACTCAAATATAAACAATTTTAATTACTTAAACAATTTCATAAAAGTACAATCAATTATCTTTGAAACGCTGTAAATTTCAAGTTTCTATCTTTTATAGAACTTGAGATATACCCATTTGAAAATATGTCTACAATGCCAATTCTCAAAACCCCATGGGTCCATATCTCGTAGGAAAAATTTCACAAAATCTTTTCCCGAGATACGGGTCTTCTTATTTTATAAAAGGCGTAGATCATGAGATAATTTTTTGCCAAAATCCGTCCGGTTAGTAAAAGAATCACCCAAAAGCACTCTTTAGAAACTATGTATTTGATAAAAATAGTGTGAAATTATTTATTTGATTCAGTGCTAAATATTAAATGCATTGTTTTGTATATTTTAGCCAAATTCTGATAGTAATGGTAATAGCGACGATATGGATGGCTCAAGTTTCTCATCCTTCTATTCATCATTTATTAAAACAACTGATGGATCTGACAGCCCACAAGAAACTGACAAGGAGTTCAAACAGGGCAAATACAAAGTATTTTTGGTTAACCTATTAAAACAAAATGAATGTACCTTACTGAATATTATCTTTTCTAGGAAAAAAGTATTGTAAAGTTAAAGGAACAAGAAGAAAACGACTCGCAACATAGTAAACAATAATTCTTGCATATAGGAAAATTATATAAATTTATCACCGAATTTCACTGCAAATGAAATCAAAAAGTATGGTTTAAATAATATAAAACTGCTGTTATTAATCTATTGGCAAAGTGTAAACTGTACGAATATTTTTAAAAATAAATGCTAATTTTGTTTCTTTAAATGGTTATTCGGTTGTTTAATTTTTAAAATTTAAAGGGTTTTCAAATAGCAAAGAAAGAAAGGACAAAGACAAAAATTTTATTCAATTTATTGAAATTTGGCTGACCATACAAAGCTGTTTCGAGTATTGCCAAGTTCTCATCAATAGTGGTTCTAGAAAATAATCGAATTTCTTAATTAGTTTATACCATAGTCCGTATATAATTTGTTTGGGCTGCAAGTGCCAGGCTTAGAACTCGTGCCTATCAAATTAGAAGCGATGACTAACCATGTAGACGAGTAGACGAGACTACACAAACTTTAAGTGCTCTAGTTCCAGGTTTTTTGTCACTTTTTTATTTAATTAGTAACATTAACCAAAGCACTTGCCGTGCTTTAAATTAGCATAAATAAATTGAATAAAATTTTTGTGTTGTTTATTTTTTATTATTTTGGTTTAAGATAAAACTTTTTAAATTTTTTTTTTTGGTATTTAAAAACATTACCGTAAAAGAGAGTACATTACTCGACTGCAGTATGGTGCTGCGGTATAAATATATAAATATAATAAGTTCAACCTTGCTTTCATAATGTACGTCTGTGAGGCGTACGATCTTTTTACATTTTGCTCTCTCTCTCTCACAAATGTTTTCACAACGTATGCATATTTGCATTTATCTCAGTCGTTACCAGTGGTAGTTGATTTTCGGTGGTAAAATTTGTATATTCTGAGATACTGCCAAGCCATACGTCTCCGAGATGTATGTTTATGTTTTGTGCTACTTGTACAATTTTTGAGTGATTATTAGTTATTGTGTTTTTTTATTTAAATTCAGTACATGTAATTGTAAATAAAAGCAAAATGGAAAGTAATGAAATATTAGACGACACGCAAATAGCTACTTAACTGACATGTCTAGATGAATTTAGCTCAACCGAAAATGAGAGTGAAAGAGAAGTGATTATTAGTTATTGTGTTTTTTTATTTAAATTCAGTACATGTAAGTGTAAATAAAAGCAAAATGGAAAGTAATGAAATATTAGACGACACGCAAATAGCTACTTATCTGACATATCCAGATGAATGTAGGTCAACCGAAAATGAGAGTGAAAGAGAAGATGTGGTATCGGAAAATGATATTCCAAAATATCAAAAAAGACGCAAAAGATAAAGATCTTAATGTACAGGAAAATCGCGAAAATATATCGCCAGACCCGGAACACGAAGAAACCAACAATAATAGGTCGTCTTTAGACAGCCGGATAGTAAGAGTACTTCAGCCAACATCAAGAAGCAAAAGCCAATATTGCTGGACTACTTCGAAGGGAATAAATGCCGGTAGAGTTCTATCGATGAATGGTGTTCGAATAATAAGAGGTCTCACAAGAGCATGTAAAGCCTTATGTGATCCGATTTCTTCCTTCACTGCTTTTTTTACTGACGAAATAATATCAGAAATAGTTTAGTGGACAGATGCAGAGATATCTCTAATACGAACAACTAATTTGAGAAGCAAAACGTTCGCAGATACAAATTGTCTTGAAATTGGTGCTCTTCTTAGCATACTGACTTTGACCGCAGTATTGAAGGACAATCACTTGTCAGCTAGTGAGTTATTCAATACAACCTATAGTGGAGATAGGTACATTGTTGCCATATTTGGACAAGACAACAACAACTGTAAGGATGGAAATTTTGCACAAATTTCCAACCTACATAAATTTAAATAAATTTCGAAGAAATCTGAAATTAAAATAGAGGAATTAACATTTAACATAGTTATTAGAAACTACTTACCAAAAAGCCACCCAGCCTGCACGCAACTGCAACACGTGAAGCAATCTGAAATTAAGAGAAAATAAATTTGTAATAAATACAGAAATATATCTTAATAAAATAATAAATACATTCCTTCTTTGTTCTGTGACGATTTTTTCCAACACGTCACAAATAAATTATGATAGTTGAAAATAGCATGAAGTGATTATAGTAAACAAATAAAAAAAACCCAACAACAGAATTAAACTATTTTAGTCGAAACAAAATATATATATAGCATGAAGTTATTATTATTATTGTAAACAAACAAAACAATAGTATTAAGCTATTATTAGTAAAACCAAACCCACGGAAAAAATATTAGTCTAAGCTATGAAAAAAATATATAAAGTATTAATAAAGTAAAAGGAATTATTTTAGAAAGTAAGATAATAATAAGTAATTATAAATTATCATAGAATTTAGTTATCAAAATTAAGAGAAACAATAAATCTCTTGAAAATACAAATTAAGTAATAATACTTCCGATTTCTTTGAGGGTAATTATTTTTGCCAAATTTTAATAATAAATATGCAGCGAACAACAACAGCAGAACATAGCGAAATCAGTAGCAATAACAACTTAGAAGAAAGCTACACAGTATGCAGTCAGAAGTCCGTTATCCCGTTCTATAAAATCCGTATAAAAGGAGAAGCAAGGTAAAACACAGGGACTTGGCCACAGCATTTCGAGCAGTGCACATCACCAGAGGGACTTGGCCACGCACTTCGAACAGTACATCACAGGGGATGCCACAGCACTTCGAACAGTGCACATCACCAGAGGGACTTGCCACAGCACTTCGAACAGTGCACATCACCAGAGGTTACAATCACAGGTCGTGAAGCAGAACACTTCACAAGATAATCACAGAGGTAATTATTAAGTCAATAGAACTGATTCCTAGCAACACAGCCCTATCGGTAGTGTTGTTCCTAATCCTATAGTGTAGCCCAGTCGGTAACACTGAACCCCTAGCAACACAGCCCTATCGGTAGTGTTGTTTCCTAATCCCACAGTGTAGCCCAGTCGGTAACACTGAACCTAGCAACACAGCCCTATCGGTAATGTTGTTTCCTAATCCCACAGTGTAGCCCAGTCGGTAACACTGAACCTAGCAACACAGCCCTGTCGGTAGTGTTGTTTCATAATCCCACAGTGTAGCCCAGTCGGTAACACTGAACCTAGCAACACAGCCCTGTCGGTAGTGTTGTCTCCTAGCCTACCTTTAGTCATTCTTTTGTGTTCTCTTATTTACAGGAGTTATATTAATTGTCCGTATTTATAATTACAATAAAATATCATTAGTACATAAGTATAACTATAAATATTGTAATAAATTTATTTTGAGAAAAATAATAAAAACCACGAAACTAACGAAAATAGCCCGTTTTTTAATTACGAGAAGATTCAGGGTTACAGAGAAAAAATATTCTTGTAACGACTCTGGGATCCGGCGAGAAAAACCCCGGCTTGAGAAAAAAAGGTTCTTTACAAGTGGCGCCCGAGCAGGGACCCTGAATACAACGTAGGAAACTTCGTAATATAATAATGAGTAAGGAGGATCCGATTTTAGCACGAACCTGGTTGGTCACATCACAGAACTCTTAACTCGAATGAAACGAATTTAAGAACTCTGGAAGAAAAAAATATATCAACGTATATCACACGTGGAATACAAAGGGGCAGATATGAGTCCTACAATGCGCTCACCCATTCAAACAATAGAACATGTGGAAAAATGGTCCTTCAGATATGACGGTGGTGAGGATCCATTGAGTTTCATCGAACACATAGAAGAACTGGCAGACAAGTATAGCATCGATGTAAACTTAATTCCACGCACAATGCCCTTACTTCTCGAAAATAATGCACTAATATGGTATCGCAACAACAATTGTCGTTGGCAGTACTGGACACATTTCAAGGTTGATTTTCTAAAGTTTTTTATCCCGTCTAGATTCTTTAAGCAAAAACAAAAACTACTGCAATCCATAGCCGTCGAAGAACAACAGCAGCAAGTTAAACAACAACGACAGCAACAGCAGCAGACTAATCAACAACAAGAGCAGCAAGTTAAGCAACAACGACAGCCACAACAGCAGACTAATCAACAGCAACAGCAGCAAGTTAATCGACAACGGCAGCAGCAGCAACTACAAGATACGCTAGAACACGGCGTACAACAACAAGATCCAAGACCTACCAAAGTGAAAATACAACAAGATCCGAAATCTACTAAAGCACCAAAGTTACAACAATACCGAGATCCAAGTCCTATCAATACAACACCTAGCCGAGATTCACAGCAACCACAAGACACGCTAGAACACATCGTACAACAACAAGATCCGAGACCTATCAAAGTAAAAATACAACAAGATCCGAAATCTACTAAAGCACCAAAGTTACAACAATACCGAGATCCAAGTCCTATCAATACAACACCTAGCCGAGATTCACAGCAACCACAAGACACGCTAGAACACATCGTACAACAACAAGATCCGAGACCTATCGAAGTGAAAATACAGCAAGATCCGAGACCTATCAAAGTGAAAATACAACAAGATCCGAAATCTACTAAAGCACCGAAGTTACAACAATACCGAGATCCAAGTCCTATCAATACAACACCTAGACGAGATTCACAGCAACCACAAGACACGCTAGAACACATCGTACAACAACAAGATCCGAGACCTATCGAAGTGAAAATACAGCAAGACCCGAGACCTAACAAAGGGAAAACACAGCAAGATCCGAGACCTATCAAAGTACAAAAGTTACAACAACTACAAGGTACACAAGAGCAAATAGTACAACAGCAAATAAAATTTATTGAAACACAACAAGGCCAACAGGAACAATTACCATACCAAATTAAGGAACGTTGTCTCGAAACAGATGACAAAGTCAGCACAGAAAAACAGCAACGGCAAACGAAAATTTGTTGTACAACCCAACCGGAGAACGATCAGATTGTCACTACGGCCCAAGACAAATTTTATAAAATATTCAAAACTCCGAAGAAACGTTACAGAAGCCAAGCACTATAATTTACGACCCAGAGCATGGAAACCACAGATTGGCGATATGGTTTTAGTCAAACACATCCACTATCCAACGCTCAGGCTCATTTTGCTGCAAAACTAGCCCCAGAACCACCGCAGAACTTTGGGAACGGATACAGAGGGACGCTCAAAAG